GCCAGACCAGTTAGGGCATGTATGTGTGGGTTCCTGACTTGACACAGGGCGGGTCTCATAACATGAGTCCAGGTGACTTTTTGGAAGCTGTGGACAGCACAACAAAGGAAGGACTTAGGATCCTGCCCGGGCACGATTTGAATGTGTAAACATCTGCTCCTAAGTGTCTTTGCTTAGGGAAGATAAGACCTAGCGATTTACTATCTGCCTGTAAATGGCTGGACTGGTCTGTTCAGCTCTCTATCTCAGTTTCCCATGTGCCAAGGAGTTCTTCTGGCCTCTTTTTAAAAATTATTTTATTGATTTTTTAGAGAGAGGAAGGGAGAACGATAGAAGAGTAGGAAACATCGATGAGAAAGAAACATCAATTGGCTGCCTCCTACACACCTCCCACTGGGGATGTGCCCGCAACCAAGCTACATGCCCTTGACCAGAATCGAACCTGGGACCCTTCAGTCTGCAGGCTGATTCTCTATCCACTGAGCTAAACCAGTTAGGGCTCAAATATATTTTTAATGATTTCAGAGAGAAAAGGAGAGGGAGAGAGAGAGATAGCAACAACAATGATGAGAGAGAATCATGGATCAGCTGCCTCCTGCATGCCCCCAACCGGGGATCAAGCCTGCAACCTGGGCCTGTGCCCTTGACCGGAACCGAACCTGGGACCCTTCAGTCTTCAGGCCAACGCTCTATCCACTGAGCCACACCGGCTAGGGCTCTCCTAGCTATTCTTACTTTCCTGCCTTAGGTCCAGCTGAGGGATGAGAAGAGGGGAGGAACTGGAGAGGCTGGTTTGAATATTTTTGAATGAATGAATGAATGAATGAATGAACACTGTAAGGAGGCAATTGCTGGATTATATAGGATTCGGGGCACAGGGATTGGAGCAGGAGGTGAAGGCCATATTCCCCTTGAAAACTGGAGACAGCACCACAAAGGGAGGACTTCATTACAATGTAGCCCCGATATTTGGGGACCACGCAATCTGGCGATGGTAGCGCTGATGGGGTGAGCCAGTGACCAGCTGTCCTGGCCTGGATTTCACGGACACCTCGCCCGCCACCCTGCCCAGTCTGAGTTCTTGCTCCAGGGCTTCCTATATGCCGCTTCCAGGAAAGGACTTGATGTTCTTCTGGCAATGGCCAGGCGTGAGCTGATGGGATGTCCAGCTGTCCAGCTGGCCCGGTTAGAAAGCCTTTGAACTGGGCCCCATAAAAATAGATCATTCTAAGGCCTTTCTTCCACTTCCTCTCTACTCTCTAGAGCACATGTGTCAAACACAAGGCCCGCGGGCCAAATCCGTCCCGCCAGGCTTTGCAATGTGGCCCGCACCGCGCTGTCATCACTGCACTCCGCTGCGTTTCCATCACAATGACAGTTTATGACTGTTCAGTAAACCATTCGGCCCGCGATTTAGGCTGGATTTTAGATTTTGGCCCCTTCTCTGATTGAGTTCGACACCCCTACTCTAGAGTGAGTGCCCGCCCAGCCTAGGTGTGAGCCTGTTCCTTGTTCTCCGAGTTGCAGGCAGCTAAAACCGTTCTGGGCCAGTGAGGCCACGCCCCTTGGTGCCATTAGCCCCTGAGGAAGAAAGAAAGGTGACAAACTCCGAAGGAAGAAGAGAAAGGTGCCTGCCGGGCCGGTGTGGCTCAGTGGTTGAGCGTCTAACCATGAACCAGAAGGTCACGGTTCGATTCCCGATCAGGGCCTATGGAGGAGGAACACACGAGGCCAAAGGGGGTGAAGAATTATGCATTTATTAGGTCACCTGGAAAGCCAGATGGGCTTGAGAAGGCTAAAAAGGGGTTAATTCCAGCCCTGACTGGTTTGGCTCAGGTGGATAGAGCGTCAGCCTGCGGACTGAAGGGTCTCAGGTTCGATTCCCGCCACCGGCATATGCCTGGGTTGCAGGCTTGATCCCCAGTAGGGGGCGTGCAGGAGGCAGCCGATGCGTGGTTCTCTCTCACCATGGATGTTTCTATCTCTCTCTATCCCTCTCCCTTCCTCTCTGAAATCAATAAAAATAATCTAAGGGGGGGAAAAAAATAAAGTGAAAAGTCAATACAAAGAAAAAAAAGGGGCCTGAGAGCCGCTGGGCAGGGGCCATCGGACAGGTAAGATGTGAGGCTGGGGCTTGGGTCCAGCGCTCACTCCTGAGCAGCAGCCGGTGGGAGAGCAGACACCGATGTCCGTCAGGATGAAGCTCAGCTGTGATGAGGGGACCGTGTGTCCGGCTTCAGGCCGTCAGGGGAGGGGAAACCAGGGTGTGGTAGCCGCCAGAGACATCAGGGAGGACAGTGGGTTATTGAAGCCCCAACCGAAGTGAGAAAACGCACATAAAGGGGCCTCAGAATTCCACCCACCTTTTCGGTTTCGGCAAGAAAACACATCTGCCTTTTTTGAAACTGAGCGTATTTATTCGCAGGCGCTAGCCCCTGGCCCTTGGTCTTTGGCTTGTCCACAAAAGCTGGCTGTTTGGGCCCCGGGCAGGGATGTTTGCACACGGGTCATGTGTGCGCAGAGCAGCTGCTTTGGGGAAGAGGGTGTGCGTTGGAAGGCAGTGGGTGTGAGGGCTGTGAGTGTGGGGCCGCTGGCCCATTCTGCTCAAGCTCCTGTGATGTCTGCGCTGCCAAATGCTGGCCGGCAGCCTCTTCTCTCCTCTTTATGTGGATGGAATTGCATAGTGTGGACCAATCAGTGTAAACCAGCCTCTTAGAGATAGTTTTTAAAATATATACATATTTTATTGATTTTTTTACAGAGAGGAAGGGAGAGGGATAGAGAGTTAGAAGCATGGATGAGAGAGAAATATCGATCAGCTGCCTCCTGCACACCTCCTACTGGGGATGTACCCGCAACCAAGGTACATGCCCTTGACTGGAATCGAACCTGGGACCCTTCAGTCCGCAGGCCGATGCTCTATCCACTGAGCCAAACCGGTTTCGGCTCTCCCCTTTACATTGATGGAATTGCATAGTGTTGCCCAATAATTGTAAACCAGCCTCTTAGAGAGAGTTTTTTTTTTTTTTTTTTTTTAAAGAAAATATATTTTATTGATTTATTTTACAGAGAGGAAGGGAGAGGGAGAGGGAGTTGGAAACATGGATGAGAGAGAAACATCCATCAGCTGCTTCCTGCACCCCGACTGGGGACGTGCCCTCAACCAAGGTACATGCCCTTGAACCCGGGACCTTCCAATCTGCAGACCAACGCTCTATCCACTGAGCCAAACCAGTCAGGACTCTTCAATATACTTTTATTGACTTGAGAGTGGAAGGGAGAGAGAGGGAGACAGAGATAGAAACATCCAGGATGAGAGAGAATCGTGGATCGGCTGCCTCCTGCACGCCCCCTCCTGGGGATCCAGCCAGCAACCGGGGCACCTTCCCCTTGAGTCAACAGGAATCCAACCGGGACCTCTCCGCCCTCAGGCTGGCGCTCTACCCACCGAGCCACACCAGCCAGGGCCACTTGGGGAGGCTGAATTCCTGCAGGAGGACTTGCTAAGTCTCCTGGGCTCTGCGCTTGTCCCTCGGACAGGGATTGCCGAGCAGCTCCCTGGAGAAGCTGAGCCAATGCACACGCCCTTCAACAAATGCATGCTGGGGCCTGCTGCCCTTCAGCCTCCTGCGAGCAGAGTGCACATCCTTTGCTGCTCTGCCAATCTGATAAGTGACACTGGTGTTCATCGCGCCGGCAGTTTCCATTGGTAGGATGCATCAGGCTTCACTAGTGAAGTCTAAAGTAAAGTTGGAAGAAAAAAAACACACACACACACACACACACACACACACAAAACAAAACACAACTCCATCTGGGCTCTTTCCTTTCCAGTCTATTTATTTATTTATTAAAAAAATATATATTTTATTGCCGAAACCGGTTTGGCTCAGTGGATAGAGCGTCGGTCTGTGGACTGAAGGGTCCCAGGTTCGATTCCGGTCAAGGGCATGTACCTTGGTTGCGGGCACGTCCCTGGTGGGGGGTGTGCAGAAGGCAGCTGGTCGATGATTCTCATCCATGTTTTTAACTCTCTGCCCCTCTCTCCTCCCTTCCTGTCTGTGAAAAAAAATCAATAAAATATATTAAATAAATAAAATAAAAAATAAATGTTTTTTATATATATATATTATTGATTTTTTTACAGAGAGGAAGGGAGAGGGACAGAGAGTTAGAAACATCGACCAGCTGCCTCCTGCACGCCCCTCACCGGGGATGTGCCCGAAACCAAGGCACATGCCCTTGACCGGAATCGAACCTGGGACCCTTCAGTCTGCAGGCCGAGGCTCTATCCACTCAGTCAGGGCTGAGCTTCTGAGCAATGTATTACTACCGTGTTTTCCCGAAAATAAGACATCCTTCGAAAATAAGACCTAGCGCAACTTTGGGAGAAAAAATTAATATAAGACACTGTCTTATTTTCAGGGGAACAGGGTAAGGGAGTGGGGATGGGGATAAGGAGGAGTCTACATTTCTTAAGAGGCAAAATTCTGAAGGTCCTTGGAGTGACACAATGATGATGACGTGGGTACTAATACATTCATCTAGTGTTTAAAAACTTTAAAAATATATATATATTATTGATTTTTTTTTTTACATAGAGGAAGGGAGAGAGATAGAGAGCTAGAAATATCTATCAGAGTGAAACATTGATCAGCTGCCTCTTGCACACCCCCCCACCCCTCCTGGGGATGTGCCCGCATCCCAGGTCCATGCCCCTGACCAGAACCGAACCGAACCGAACCCGGGACCTCCCAGCCTGCAGGCCCACGCTCCACCCACTGAGCACACCGGCCTCGGCTCCAGTCCGTTTAGACCGGGCGCTAGTTTCGCACCAGAGCCCCAACCCAGACGCAGGGCAGGACCCCCGGGTCCCTCCCTCCTCCCCGCACCCCATCATCACCGCCCCTGCAGCGGAGCCCCGCCCGGAGCCCGCCCCTGGCCGGCCTCGGGGCGGAGCTGGCGGGCCGCTGGGCGGTGCCAACCGCCTGATTTATTCCGGTCCCGGAGGCAGGAGTCCCGATCGAGCCATCCGGCCGCTGTGTGCGCGGCCCCAGCTCAGCCTCCGTCCGTCCCGCCGGCCCCGAGGAGCGCGCGATGCCCGCCTCCCGCCTGCTGGCCGCGCTGTGCGGCGCGCTGCTCTGCGCCCCAGGCCTCCTGCTCCAGGGCTCCGGTGAGTGATCGCGCCGCCCCCGCCCCCCTCTGGGCTCGGAAGTTCGGCCGGGAGCCCTCCCTCCGCCCCGGCTGTTGACAAACTCGGGCCCCGGGATCCGCGGTGCGCCCTCCCCGGTGCGCCCTCCCCGGTGCGCCCTCCCCGGCGCGCGCGGCTGGCTCCTCCCGCTGCCTCCGCGCCGGCCGGCCGGCGGGAGTTTGGGTCGGGCGGGCGGTGGCCCGGGACCCTGGGTGACACCCCAGGCATCATCCCCTCGGGAGGTGGCCTCCAACATAACAAAGGAATCCGCTGGGTGGGGGCCTCTCTTTCCCCCTCTGTAGAATGAGGCCAGGGAGCGGGTGTGTGTGTGTGCAGGAGGCAGCTGGTGGGTGTTTCTAACTCTCTCATGGATGTTTCTAACTCCCTATCCCTCCCCCTTCCTCTCTGCAAAAAATCAATAACATATATTAAAAAATAAAATATAATGCTCATAAAATATTATATATATATTATTATTATTATTATTATTATTATTATTATTGATTTTTTGTAAGTTCCCGGGACTCTGTGCATTGCTAAGGCTCCAGCAAACTTTCCTCCCGGGCAAGGAATCCTGTCCCAAGCCCTGAACCCCGTCCCAGGCCCTGCCCCTGGTCCGATCATTGGAGATGTCCGCCCACGTGTGCTCACCATGGATCAGAGGGAGGGGGGAGGGAGGGAGGGAGGCAGGGATGGGAAGGGGGTGGGCTGGAACGAAGGGCCCTAGGAGGGTGGGGGGTGTCCAGGAGAGGATTCTTGGCTGGGGAAGGCCTGCTGCTGCAGCCGGCCAGCCTGGCTTCCTCTTCCGACTCCTTCCTTCCTTCCTTCCTTTCCGTGGCCTTGGCCTGCTGTGGTATCTTCCCTGGTCCTCCTCCTCCTCCTCCTCTTCCTCCTCCTCCTCCTTCTTCTCCTCCTCCTCCTCCTCCGCCCAGCAGGGCCTCCCTCCACCAGCTGGTCTCCCTCTCGAAGGCACAGGCAGGTCCTGGGTGATGCCCCATCCCCTTGGGGGCGGCGGGGGGGGGGGGGACGCAGCCCTCCCCCAGGCCGGGTGCCCACCCTCCATCCTTTCCACGATTGACTGACCGCAGCGAGGGTGCGGGTGGACCAAGGCGGGGGCCTGGCCCCGCCATGCGCGACGTGACGGGCTGACCCCTGACCCCTGACCCCTGACCCCGGCCTGCAGGGGACCCTTTGAGGGCGCGCCAGGCTGGCTCCCACACATGGGGGAGCTGGCGGCTGGGACTTGTCCCTTCCCGTTCCTCTCTGTCCTGGCAGCCTGGCTGCATGCCCCCCGGAGAGATGGACCCACAGGGCAGGGCCCTGACACCCCGGAGGTGGTGACTGTAGTGGTGGTGGTGGTGGTGGTGGTCGAGGGGTGATCTGGCTTTTTCTGGGGCGGGCCAGGTGAATCAGGCTAGGGCCCCCCGGGGAAGGGGCCAGGCACCGTGTCCCGTTTTCCCACTGGGCCCCCTGGCCCTGCAGCCACCTGAGTGGGCGAGGAAGAGCAGTTGGCACTCGGCCGGGACCAGAGCCTAGGCCTCCAGCCGTTCCGAAGGCCCTGTCTGTGCCCAAGCTGCCCCCGCCCACCCGCCCGCCCGCCAGGTCAGGGGAGGGGATTAACCTGCTATTTAAAGCCGGTGACTAATAGCCCGTTGGGAGCCGCCTCAGCTCCCCAGGAGGCCCGGGCCAAGGTGGAGTTCTGAGTCTCCTTAACGGTATTCCCTTCCCCGAATTCCCTTCCCTGCAGCCCAGGCCTCAGCTCGCAGGGATTTTGGGGTTCCAGGAGGCCCCCTCTCCCCCGCCCCCCTAAGCCTGGCACGGCCAGA